GGGTGGAGAAAACAGTGCAACAATGAATGAATGAAAACCCAAAATCTCTGTAAATGTTCATTAAAACTAATAAAATTTAATTAAAAAAAAATAAAATGCATGGTGAGAAGTCCTGCAGTCACTTTTGAGGGTGAGTCATTTCAAGATGACTTTAGTATGTCCTGTAAATGTCAAGATTTTGAATACCACCAAGTTCCTGAGCCAAGTGAACTAATAAGAGACCATCACTTAAAAAAAACAAAAAGAGAGAATCACTGCAGCCTCAGATGTCATTAAATACTCCCTTCCAGACACGGCCGAAGCAGCAGACTGTGCTATGGGGATTAGGGGCCATCACAAGATGAGAGCCTCTGAGGACCTCTCAGGACTATCAGGGGTAGGCTTTTCAACTACAAAATATAAAGACCTCCTTAATTGGGGACACAGGAGTGAGGGTGAGAGAACAAGACTCACAGTTGGAAATCGTTGGCTAGAACCTAAAAGGGCAGGGAAGTAAGAAGCAGCCAAAAGGCGGCATCACCGAAGTCCATGAGCAGACAGAGTAACAGGCAGCTACGTATCACGGAGCATCACTCAGCCACCAAGACAAATGAAGTCCCGATACATGCTGCGACACGGACGGATCTTAAAATATGAAGCTGAATGAAATCAATCACACACACAAGGACGAATGCGGCACGACTCCACTCATGAAATAGCTGGGCCAGGCAAATGCATAGACACCAAAGTTTATTAGTGCGAGAGGGAATGGGAGAGAAGGGCAGTGAAGTTCCTGCAGTGAAGAACAGTGTTCTGCTCTTTGGCTGCTAAAGGTCCTGCCTTCCACCAGTGTCCTAGACCAAAGACGGAATGTCCTTTTTTACACTCATTGAATAATTACTATTCTCTAAACACGTTGACTGGCACATGTTCTTAATAACTATTAAAATGGGTACTGTTTTCCCACTTACAATGAAGAAAGCTTGGAGACCACCAGCAATTCAGGCCTCTTATGGCCAATGATGATGCTGTTATTGCAGACGACATGATCCTGCTTGCTGAAACAGAGGAGGACTTGAAGCATTTGCTGCAGAAGGTCTGGTAAGAATTGAAGCCTTCAATATGGACTGTTGTCTCAACATCTAGCAAACAAAGATTCTCACCATCGAGCCAATAGGCAAGTATCATGATAGATGGAGAAAAGACTGAGCTGGTTCATGATTTTATCTTGCTTGGATCCACAATCAACAGTCCAGGATCTCTCCAGAGTGCTGAAGAGCGACAATATCACTTAGACATGCAGGTGCACCTGCTCCATGCCATGGTCCTCTCTGTTGCTGGGTGTGCGTGTGAGAGCTAGACAATGAAGAAGGCTGACAGAAGCGTTATCGATGTCTACCAACACAAAAAGCCAAGTAATAGTCTAAACAAGGAAAGGGTTATTAACAAAATATTTTATTTTTAACAAATTTAAATTTTGTAGAGCAAAAACAACACAGAGGGAGGCCATGATGTTTCTTAAAAGTGAGGTTATTTTAAAGAACATGTTTTTGGTAACCTGACCAACAGCTATTTCATTATATTCTTTAATGTTCTAGACATAAAACATATGTAGGCCAAGAGTTGAACAAATTACATCAATAAAAGAAAAAAAAAGACTTTGTGTAGAAGGAAGAATTTACTCAATGTCTCAGAAATGGCTGTGTAATACTTAAATTAGAAAGCTGAAATCAAAATTATTCACATATGTGCATGGGAATTTAACTTGCATCTTTCCCTAGCGGTACGCTCAATAGGATCTGAAGTACTCAATTCTGTGACTGAATGGCTATTTCAAATATTGTCATCTAAAACCTATACCAGAGAGTTAATCAGTATTAAATGTTAGTATTTATCAGTGATAAGTGGAGTCTGGAACCTGGTGCACTGGAATGATTCCTGAAGGCAGTCGACATAAGTGTGATATGTCCTCAGGTTACAAATATAAGTCTTCAGGACAACTACTTGCTCTTTAATGTTCCGTAAATTTGCCCTCACTTTGACACACAACTCAAACCACCTGTACTTGCAACAAATTCATCACAATCACCTGTGGAGCTTTCAAATCACTGAAGTCTTGAAACCTTTTTGGCACAATATGAGAATGGTACATACCTGCTTTGATATACCTGGAAAGTCAATTTAGACACCCTGAGGAACTGACCATCTCCTTAACACAGGGACTGTCTAGGTGCAGGCTGAATCCTGCATGCCTCTTTGGTGCCTCAGGACTAGAGTTCTGCTCGACTGTGAACAGTATTTACCTCACCCAACTGTCTAAGACATTGTCACCTGATCCAACCAGGCCACCTAATCCTGCTCTCACGACAGCACTGCTTCCACCTCACTGTCTATCTTCCAGCCAAGGTGCTTGTGGAACTGTTTGTAAGAAGAGCTGGAACTCTTCTCAAGCTTTCCAGAAGGTCTCCTTGTGAATAAATAGTTGGTCATGTGACAGAAGATTGCTGAGCTTTACTTTTACTACACCATCAGGTAGTAAGGCTGGATGGAAGGAGACATATGGCCATACCTTCCTATAACCACCAAATAAACCTGTGATTGGTGAATGAATGAATGAGCCTAGACAGTCTATAATGGTGTGTAAAGGCAATGAAAACCCACGGACGCTCTTTCTGTGGTAAGGGTCAGATTAAATCAATAGAAGCGCCCCTTAATGTAGTAGCATCCTGCTGATCCCCCTGAACCAGGTGACTCTGGTCTTCAGGTACCAGACAGGTGGCAATCCAGTCATCACCCCGGCCGAGGCCCTTCTTGGGCAGTTTCTGTTCTTCAGAAAACAGAAGATTTTACACCCTTTCCATTCAAGCTCAGATTACTTGGGACAACTTTTCAGTTTTCCTAATAATCATATAACTTAAAAAAAAAAAAAAAGTAAATTTAGCCAAGATAGAACTATTGCTCTGTTATTTTTTACAGAGGCTAGTTGATGAATCTCTTCTCCCAGAGTGGGTTTGAACCACCAACCTTTTAGTTAGCAGCCTGGCATTGAACTGTTGCACCACTGGTGTTCCCCAGTCCATATCAGGTTGATGAAAATAAATAAAACAGGTTATGAACATACTTATATCTTTTTAATGACTACGCATACATGGACAACTGAGAATAAGCAAAAACCCAAATTAAAGTGTAAAAAAAAAATTACAGTTGTTATTTAAAGACATATGCTTGGATTTGAAAGAAATAGTCCAATTGATTAACAGTCTCTCATTCAATCTGAATTACCCAATTCCTTTTTAAATAAACACAACTCTATTTTGGTAGAGACACATCCCATTGAGCACTCTCTATACAGAAACACATGCACCTCTCCCTCAATCATTTAGCAGTTTCTAAAATGGTAAAAAAGAAACAAAATTTATTATAGCAAATGAAAGTGCAAGTTTGGAGAGTTAAGCTCATCAGTGAAAGTGATCAAAGAGTGGAAAGTAAAAAGGTGACGGATCGCCACAGACGGGCACAGCCATGAAAGCAGCCTCCACTGGGTGCTGCGTGCCAAACAGTCAACATCCCACAATCTTCTCATTGCTCTTAAACGAGCAAACCCAGACTCTTTCTATGTAAAGAAATAGTAAATCTTTCTCCCCCCGCGCCCAGTAATTTGTCATCAGATAAGGCAAAGATAAGTCCCCTCATCACTGGGACAGCAGCAATACACAGATTTCAGAAAAAGCCCTGAATCACCCGCAATAACAACCTCTCATGGCAATAGAACAAGAGATGCATCTAATAAATCAAATTTGCAACGGTGTTGCCATTTTCTAATTTATTTGATTAGTGTATCTGAAAAACCTTTATAAATACATTATTTAGGAGGGCAGTAAATTATTTTCTTGCTCTGAAAAAATAATATTCCCCCCTCACACTTTGAGACTTCTTAGAACGCTTTTGTAAAAGAGATGCAAGAAGAGTGCTGGGTGTGCAGAGTGTATGTCCATGTACAAGGTGCTTTTACAAGAGCCTCGTAATCTAGCATTTGCCTCTACAAATAGAGCTCTTTGCAATAATATTGAAACAACCTGGCTTAATTTAAACATAATTTAAACACCTCCTTTATTCACACTACTTGTAGAGAAAAGAGGTACTTCTTTTTCAAGTACTCTATATATAGTAAAAGGTAAAAAAATTTTTTTTTGCCAATTTTATATTAACTTTTAAGACCAAAATATTTATGTAGGGAAAGAAAGCCCCAAAACCCCAAAACAACAAACATGCCTAGTCGGCCCTTTTCTTTTATAGCCAATGTTCTTGTCTTGTAAGGAATGCAGAAAAATAATGATTTGCTAAGAAGGAGCCCGCTGGAATAAGCCATTTTAAAGAATTTGAAGAATTTTTTTTCTACTGTTGAAAATTATTAGAAAAGCTCTCCAGTCTGCTGTCTTTAGCTGGTTTTAATAAAGTCTTTTCAAAATGATGTTCAAGAAATCTTTAGAAAACTGGAGGGGCCAGGGGATGCTCCTTTATAGCGTGGAAGGAATTCCATTAACCGAAGGAATTCTTATCACATTTTTGCTGCAGTTCTCCAGAAGAAATGCTCATATAACTTCTATATTAGGAGACAGAAAAACAAAACAAACCAGATTACTTCATGTATCTAAATATACATGGATAGGATATTACAATAAAATATTTCTAAAGTTTTACTATGCCTTCACACACGTTGTTTAATATGACAAGTCAGAGTTTATAATATTCTTACAGTTAAGTAGATTCTACTAATCATATAAAAATATATGTCCTTTTTTCCACTTTAACATACCACTTATGTTTCTAAATTGCTTATTTCAATTGTGTTTTTTTCCAAGGTTAGGGACGTATCATTTACTTTTCTTGTGTTCTCGGGGCTTGACACTTAAGGCTCCACACAAATGACATTAAATAAATGTTTGTTAATTATCTGAAAAGATCTCTAGGTGGGAAACCTTGGGTTGTGTCCTCAGAGAATATATGGAGGGAAGGATCAGTGGGAATACAGTGACAGGATACTTGAATCTCTGAAACACTGGGGCTGAAATGTCTATGGAATTAGATGGCCAGGTCTGTTTCCATTCCATCATTAAATGGGTTAAAACTGCCCAGATATTGGTTGCTGGATAAGCACAAATTGAAGGCTTAATACTAGGCACATCCAGGTCATGAGTACCACAGGCTGACAGGGAGAGGGGTCTGAGGAAGCATGGCTGGTGCACACACACAAGAGGGTACAGGGAACACTTCTGCATGGAGTGGGAGTACAGGATGGGTCCCTGAAATTCACTTTCTGTGAGACACTTCAAATCTTTTTCATGATGGCTTGTTTGGTCCCTTGGATTCTTTTACAAGATAGAAGGTGGACAGAAGTTCATTCTTTTCAGGCTTGGCTTGTTTCTGATGGTCACACAGAAGGGACAGGAGTCAGGCTTACCTGCTGTCTGCTGCGTCTGAACACTATCTACCTGAGGCAGAGGCCCAAGCTTTCCTTCATCCTCAAAGGCCAAAATTGGGTTCAAAGGAATTTCTGGGGTCTCACTGCTGGTGACATCTAATCTGGATGGTTTAGATCCAATCGGTAAATTTATAATTTCTTCAAAATTCTCATTCTGGACGGATACTCCATTTTCATTTGGTTGTTTTTCCAAATTGGGAGTACTGAAAAATTTTAAAAAGAAAAACAAGTTAATAGCCATTTTGTACAAATGCTGGCTCTTCAAATTCTTGGTCTTCTTGGGATCTCCCCTGGCTTCAGAAACACCTGAAGATTTTGCTGCGGGAAATGATGGAGGCAAATTTATATTCTTCCTGTAAATCTGCTTTTGAGCCTACCTTGATTCTCCTCAATTAATACATGCTTAGCATCTTGCCTTTATCTTGAGGTACATTTAATTTCCCTTCAGATCCTTGATTTTCTCTCTCTCAAGACTAACCCACTTAGGCCATCTTCTTTCTATGAAGGAGTTCTGGTGACCTAGGCCAGAGGGGCTTGTGCTTCTAACCCAAAGGCTGAACCTCCATGACACTTCAAATCCACCAGACGCTCCATGGGAGAAAGACGGGCAATCTCCTCCCATGTGATTTACAGCCTCAGAAACCCAATGGAAGGCGAGCTCTGGGTCAACTCTGACTCCACGGCAACGTGGTTTTGTGGAGGCTTATTCTTACGCTTTACCAATGCAGCAAAAGAATAACTGTTTGTTAACTGAGCTAGAGGACTTCTGCGCATTTTGATCACAGCAGTACACACAGACACTTGTACCTGGTGTTCTGGGTTTGCGGGTTGCAGAAGGCAGAGACTCACTAGAGATTTGGAGATGAAGGGCTGATGCTCTGTTAGGCTAGCAGTGTGGCAGCCCTTCGTTTCCATATCTCTGGTGAGTCTCTGCCTTCTGCACCCCACGAACCCAGAACAGCGGGTACAACAAGACACGTCAGTGGCAGAATCTGCACAGCAGTCAATTCATGTTTCAATTCAGATGAGGTGACAGAATTTTATGGCTAAAATTTCTAAATGGTAAAAGAGACTGAAAAACCAATCTGAATAAAAATTGTGAGGGTTCTAATACATAGTGACAAATGATAGACTGAGCATTTAGTTATGAGCAAAATAGTATGGAAAGGCTACCAGGATGGGGTTGCAAGACTATGAATTACAGCATTAAGTATGGAAAGTAGGATTATGGTCTTTTCCCCCAGGGTAAATACGTGTTTTGGTTTTTAAAAAAAATTATTTTATATAGGTGTGCATATAAAATTCACATGCACGGTGTTTTGCAATATCCTTCATTCACATTGTGTTTCACATAATCATTCCCATTCATTGCGTTGTGTAAAAGGAATCACTACTGAACTATGCCACCATTACCCCATCTTTCTTTTACCCCCTCCCTCCATCCATTTGTTGTTCTTGTTACTAATCTTTTTTGCTTGCTTTCCATATGTTTTACACAATGAAATATTTTTAAGAATTAAAAAAACCACAAAACTATGGAAAGACAGGCTAGAGACCCAAAAATTGGTTGATGACCCCTAACAAGTCTCAGCAGTATCAACTGCTAACCTTCAACAAACCAGCTGGACTTTTCCACATCTCCTTCCCAAATAGAAAAGACAGGTAATGTCAATCCAATCTTTTCAGTAGCACTTTTTTTGGTCTCTTTTATAGGGGTGTGGGGGGAGACTCCCACTCCATACTGCAAGTCACTGAGGAAACAGTCTACCTTCTTGGATTGGGGGAAATACCTATTTGGTGGTGCATATTCTAAAGTGCTGAAGAAATAGCTGCAGTCACTGTGTCAATCCATCCGTGTGAGGGTCCTCCTCTCTTCTGGCATCCCTTTGTTTATCCGACCATGATGTCCTTATCCAAGAAAGAGCTTCTCCTGGCAATATGCCCAAAGTACATAAGATGAAGCTTCATCATCCTTGCCTCCAAGGAGCAATCTGCCTGCTCCTTTTCTAAGACCTATGTGCTTGTCCTTTTGGCTGTCTATGGGATGGTCGGTACTCTTCTCCAACACCACGACTCAAAGGCGTCAATTCTTTTTCTGTCATCCTTATCATTATTTAGCTCTCAGATGCATAGCAAAAAAAGTGTCTAAACAGACCATGGCCTGAATCAGCACACCTTAGACTTCAAACTGCGTTATCCCTCAATAATCTGGAGAGGTCGTTGACGGCAGACTTTTCCCAGTGCAATACACCTCCTGCTCTTCTGACTGCTGATACCAAATACAATGATTGTGGATCCAAGTGAGATAAAGTCATTGACAGTTTGAGGTTTTTTCCCCATCTATCATGATGCTGCCTATTGGTCCAGTAGTGAGAATTTCTGCTTTCTTGGCACTGAGATGCAATCCATAATGAAGGCTGTAGTACTTGCTCTTCGGCAGCAAGCACTTTAAATCTGCCCTTTCAGCAAGCAAGGGTGTGTCATCCGCATGTTGTTTATTGTTGGTGTTATGTGCCATGGAGTTGCCTGTGACCCATAGCAACCCTAAGTACAGCAGCTCTGAATCCTGCCCTGTCCTGAGCCAGTGTCACTAATTCCAACACACCAACCCCTATTCCCCCAGTTACTATATCAATCCATCTCATCCGGGCCTTCCTCTCCTGCACTGTCCCTCCACCCTTCTAAGCATGATGTCCTTCTCCAAAGACTGGTCTCTCCTGGACATGTGCCCAAAGTATGTGAGACAGAGCTTCAAAATCCTAGCCTCCAAGGAGAAACTTGGTTTCACCCTCTTCAAGACAGACCTATTTATTTTCTTGGCAGTCCATGGTACCTTCAAGACTCTTCTCCATACTGAAAGTTATTGATTCTTCCTCCAATCCTGATGCCACATTCCTCTTCACTGAGTCCAGCTTCTTAAAAAAGGATACAACCGGAGGTACACAAGTCTTAATTTTTAAAAATGTTGTATTCTCTTGCTCTGTTTGCATGAGAGTCTCTTGGTCTAGGTTTTGCATGAGCACAGTTAAGTGGTCATTAAGGCACTGTAGGCATGCTGAAAATACTGTAAACATGCATTGAATATAACCAAGTCAATCAAGAACACAAACATATTACTCCTATTCAGCCTTCTGTTCACATAGGAGGGGAGAGTTGGGCTCTGTAATAGTTTGCATGACAGTTCAGGTGTGTTTGCATATATACACACACATGCACATATGCCTAATTCATGGCATTCAGGATGGCTGGGTTCCCTCTCTATTCTTTTCCTAAAGCAATGGGTATCGTAACCCGGGCAACAGTTTTGGATGTTAATACTGAGGGATTTTAAAGAGAAGTTTGGCAAAAACATTAAGAATAGTCATGCATCCCTAAACCATTGTTCCCGACAGTCGTAACTCCTCTCACCTTTCAGGCCTGCATGTGCTAACAAGAAGTTAAAGGCAAGTGCCAACCCCAGGCATGAGTCAGTGGCTGACATCATCTCCCCCTCCCATCCGGCTATCCACCTATTCTTACCTATTAGTAACTGAAGAACAATTGTGTCCTCTGATTTGGACTGGCCAATTAATCCATGTTGTAGGGGAAATGTGACAAGCAGAAATGACAGAAATGAAGCTAGGTGGAGTTAAGGATTAGGGATCTATGTGCTCCCTCTTTTTTAATAGCACTAGTGTTGTGTGTGGTGTTGTTTTGTTTTTTTTTTCTTAAATGCCTGCTTCTTGGTCAATGTACAGGTTTTATATAAGCACAATTATGTGTTCTGCGCTTCCCTTTTTTAAAAAATTATTTTATATTGGCTTGCTTACAAAGTTCATATATATTGTGTTTCACACTATTCTTTATTCACATTGTGCTTCATATAATCATTTCCATTCATTATGTTTTAGAAAATTAATCACCATTGAATTATGCCCACCATTACCCTGTCTTTCCAGATCCACACTGGATCATTCCCATTTCCTTTACCCACCTCTCTCCACCCACCACACTCTGCTACCCTATGATTTCCCCCCAGCCCTCCTCAGCTCTCTGCTCCCACTCTCCCCCACTTGGATCCTCATATATGTTACCAGTTTTCTCTTTCTACAATAATGATCTTATGTGGTATTTGTCCTTACAAGACTGAGTTAGTTCACTCAGCATAATGCTCTCTAATCTCTCTCATGTTAGGTAGTAATTTTTTAAATTGTTGCTCAATCACACTAGTATTTGAGCTATTTGCTTTTGGCTCCACTCTAAACGCAGCCAACTGGGTGTAGGACTCCCGGCAACTATACGTCTCCCTTGGTTAACGCAATGCACATAGAGTGAGTGATGTGAGGTGGAGGCTGACATCCTGGGAGACTGATGGGCAGTTTTCTGAAATATCATTGGAGGTGCGAAGGAGTGAGAGCTCCTTCACATTTTTCACTGAAAAACATCCCAAGCAAAACCGTGTAAAGGAAACAGTATCTACAGCTTAGGTTGGCTAATCCTAGCCTCACGGATTAGGCTTCTCAAGGGTCAAATCTAGGACTTCTGGTTCTAAACCTTTTCCTTAGCCTCACATGCATGCTGGTCTCGAGAGACATATGATTAAAATGGTCAAAGAGCTCTAGAAGGTGCTTTATAAAGGTAAGTTATTGACTGATTGCCCCACTGCTCCAATTCCCCCTTTGTTCCTGCTCTATGAGAGTGGACCTGGGTTTCGGCCACTTGGCGGACTCCTGAGCTTTGTTAGTAGAGAATGCTGGAGACTGCGCAGGAGGCAAGGGTTAGCTTCCTGGTTCCCCTGCGTTTGCTCCACAAGTCCTGGCTCGTGTAATGTACAAACTTTTCTGTGTTCCCAGTTCATGCGCCTGCTGTGTGAAGAGGCTTCCTCAGCACCTAGTTCCTACAATGGAGCCTAGAAGCTTTTCCTTAGCACTTGTTTAGGGCAAATTTAAAGCAGAATGTCTCTGGTAAGATACCTTCCTGTGAACAACTTTCCCTGGCATCCTAGAAGGTGGGTTTCTGGCAAGATCACCAGCACAAAACCACAGCTACTTCGCTGCCACAAGTGAGCCAGGACTCTACCTTGTCCAGCAAGGGCTGGATCTCCACCCAGAAGGTGGGGGCTCTTCTGTCCATGCAGACTAGGGGTTTTAGAGGCTCCTTATGTCCAATATCCTTAGATTCTTCAAATTTTCATTACTTCCTTAAGGTTAATCTCTTGTTCCTCCATTCCTAAGGAATGCTTCCTATTCAAATTCTTTCCTGTCTAAATTAAAGTATAGTGTCCCTCTCTGGACTTTACTAGGAATCTTTAGTTTATAAAGTAAAACCAGGGTAGGAACAGAAATATGACCCATGAAATGAAGGTTATGGGAAACCTGAACACTGATTTATTCCCAAAACCTAGTGTATGGTAAGCACTTTAAATAATTAGCTGTTAAGAGAAATAAATGTTTATAAAGCAATTTGTTATATTTGTTATTACAAGAGGGGATGCACAGTGAAAAATGCTTTCCTGTTAAGTTCAAGGGAGACAAACGTACAGTTATTTCACAGAAGCAGAGTTGTTTAGGCCAAATATCATAAATGATATGTGAGCCATGGCACCAGGAACAAATTCAGCACCACACTGGACATGCCCAGAAGGCCAGTGTCACTAAAAAACAGGCTGTGTTTCTCAAATTTGGGAAGATTCCCTCCAGGAAACTTTAAAAATGTAGGTTTTCACTCCAATTAAAAAACCCTAAAATGTCCGGGAGCTCTGGTGGCCTAGCAGCAAGAAGCTACACTGCAATCCCAGAGGTGAGTGGTTCGAATCCACCAAAGGCTCTGCTGGACAAGGAGGGAACAATCTCCTCCAGTACCAGTCAGATCAGATTTGATGGTACACACACACACAATATAATAAAAACAAATTCTTTTAAAAAAAATAAGCCACAAAAACCCCTAAAATGTCCAATAGTCTTGTTTAACATGTCATTGTTACATGCTGTCAAGTTGCCTGCAATTTATAGCAACCCTATGCACAATAGCTCTGAACCCTGCCCTACTCTGAGCCAATCTCACGGACTCCAACACTCCTATCAACAATAACCCCAGTTACTGTGTCAATCCATCTCATCCGGGGTTTTCTCTCTTACATTATGTCTCCACCCTGTCCAAGAGGTCTCTCTTGGCAATGTACCCCAAGTTTGTTACACGGAACTTCAGAATTTTTTCCTCCATGGAGTAACTTGGTTTCACTCTCTCCAGGACAGAGACCTGTTAGTTCTCTTGGCAGTTCATGTTATGTTTAATACTCTTCTTCAGCACCAAAACTCAAAGGTTTTGTTTGATTCTTCTGTCATTCTTAGTCATTGTACAGCCTTATGATGTATATAGCAAGTAACTGAGAAAATTATGGCCTAGATCAGACTCACTTTAGTCTTTAGAATCACACTGTTGCTCTTCAGTACTCTGGAAAGGTCCCTGACAGATTTTCCTAATGTGATTCATCTTCTGATTTCCTGACTGCTCATGCCAAGTGTTGACTGTGGAACCAAGCAAGTTGAAATTGTTAACAATCTCAATCTCTTCTCCATCTATCATCATGGTGCTGCCAACTGGCCCAGTTTTGTTTTCTTTATGTTGAGTTTCAATCCATAGTGAAAACTACAGTCCTTGACTTTATGTAGCAAACACTTAAAGTCCTCCTCAGTTTCGCCAAGCAATATTTTGTCATCTGCATATCACAGTTTATTGATGCCTACATTCCTTTAACCCTGATGCCACATTCCTCCTCATAAAGCCCAGCCTCCTAAATGGTCTATTCTTTATATAGATTGAGACAGGACACATCCCTGACACACTCTCTTTCTGATTTTGAACCATGCAGTGTTTCCTTGCTTTGTTTTGATGACCGCTTTCTGGTCCAAGCATAGGTTTTGCAAGAGCATAATCAAGTGTTCTGGGATTCCCATAGAGCGCAGTTTTACCACTTGGTACTTTTGCCTGATTTTAGACTTTTCTAGCAGATCATTATAATGCAGGCAGTATTAGCTTATTTGATAAAGGTAATAATAAAGGAATTAGGTTGGACTGGCTACATCAGTGTCAAGCAATTAGGTTGGACTGACACATCAGTGTCAAGCAAAAGCTGAGGGGGACTTTTTTCACACTGTATGCAAAGAGGTTTGACGTTTCACAGAAGTCTACACTTGAAAAGCAGTGGGTGACATGGGTTATCCTTGGCACCCAAAACAGAAAGGACCAGTCAATCCCAAGTGCTATTTGTAGATATAATTTCAGAAAACCAGTACTCCCCAATAAATGAATTTCACTTAATTTGAGTGTTCTTGATAGTTCTGATTTTTTGATATTTGAAAATGCCCAGGTAATGGTGTTGATACAAATGCATGGGCAGAGAAAAGAATCTTTCTTCAAGAACCATTCCTTCCTTGACGGTTGTTAGTAAGTGTTTTATTAAGAAGTCCTGCTATTAGGCAAGTTCTGGTGGCTTAGTGGCAAGAAGCTGCACTGCAATCCCAGAGGTACATGGTTCAAATTCACCAGATGCTTTGCTGAAGAAGGAGTGACAATCTCCTCCTGTACCACTCAGATCTGATTTGACGGTACACACATAAAAAAAAAATAAATTAAAATTAAAAAAAAAAAAAAAGAAGTCCTGCTAGTAATAGAATGTCATAAAACATGTTTCACATCTAAATTATTTTTGTTGTTAGGTGCCATCAAACAGAACACAGCTCATAGCGAACCCATCAACAGCAGATCTGAACCCTGCCCTCTCCTGGGCCAGCCTCACAATCTCTGACATACTGAGCCCATCGCTGCAGCCACTGTGTCATTCCATCTGTCTGAGGGTCTTCCTCTCTTTACCATGCCTCCACTTTTTCCTACATCATATTCCTCTGCAAGGAACAGCCTCTCCTAGCAATTTGCCCAAAGTGAGATGAAGCTTATTATTCTTGCTTTTAATTAATCTAAATGCAAAGAAAAAAAATAATTTTAACTAAGATAAAAACACAAATGGGTCGAAGAATTAAGGCAAAAGCGAAAACACCCATGCAAAGCAAAAAGAACAGAGCTCATCTCTCAAAATGTAATTTGGTCCTGCACCCACCTCACCCCACAGAACATCAGTGACGTCATTATTTTTACTGTGGGGCAAATCTGAGAGTCTCCTTTCTCTTTATGTTTACTTCAAATAAAATTGCTATATACCACTAAAAGGTTCAGGTCAGGAGAAGTATGTAAAGAAAACGCATAAAATTACTTCCTGCAATTTTCTTTAATAGTCATACTAACACTTTACTATCAAATTTAAAAGTTTAAGGGAAAGAAAAAAAGAGAAGTGTTCATTTTCAGAGTACAGAATTACTCAACTCTCAATGCCAAACGTCCTAGCTGACCTACCACTGGGTTTTCTGAGGCTGTAAATCATACAGGCAGAGACTATCTGTCCTGCAATGTTATTGGTGAGTATGAACCCCCTACCTACAGGTTACCAGCACCACTCTATACGAAGAGTGTTACTGGAACTCTGTCAAATAGTGAATCAATCCAAATAAAAACTATTCTGAATGTTAAAACGTTGGAATTCCTTCTCAGTGAGGACACGCAGGTGGACTGGTGAGACAGCTGAGCAGGGTGTGAATGTGTGCCAGGGAAAAAGGAAGCTCCCTGTTGTTCGACTCACCTTTCCACGGTCGCGTTCATCTGGGGTGAGGTAACCGCATGTGGGCTGGCCACTGGATCTCCGTTTCCTGGAAAGCTTGTCACGCATGGAAGGGCAGACACTGCTGGACAGAGGCAAAGAGCAGGGGGTAAAAAGAGCTATTAATATCGTGTCATCAAATTCAAACGCTACAGACCGGAGTGGCTATGTTTACATCATGTCTGCTACTTACCGTGAGAAAGTCACTGAAACACTTTGCCTCAGTTTCCTCATGGATAACAGTACCTACACCTACTGTGAGAGTCAGATGTATTAAAGCAGAGAGTTCTGAGTGGAACCCAGCACACTGCAAGGCTTGAAGTAAGTACTATTACATCTGCTTGAACTAAACTGACTGGACAAAACAGCGTAAAGTCAAAGCAAGTAGTGATAATAGAGGTGAACTAACTTGGTCAGGCTGATTCTGAAAATCTGTGACAGGAAAACACATAAATGTTTTTCCGCTGCGGCAGCCATAAACATGCAGCAGCCATGGCTGTGCAGTACCCTATTGGCCGTGGGCCTCAACAAGGGCCACAAAGTCACCAAGAACGTGAGCAAGCCGAGACATAGCTGCTGCCACGGGTGCCTCACCAAGCACACCAGGTTCGTGCGGGACATGATCTAGGAGGTGTGTGGCTTCGCGCCCTGTGAGCATCACACCAGGGAGTTGCTCAAGTTCTCCAAAGACAAGCAGGCCCTCAAGTTCATCAAGAAAAGGGTGAGGACACACATCTGCGCCAAGAGGAAGCGAGAATAACTCAGCAATGTCCTGGTCTCCATGAGGAAGGAGGATGCCAAGAAGGACTGAGTGTGCCCCACTGTACCCCCAAAGCCCTCACCCATCTGATGTAATAAACTGTAATCAACAACAACAATGAAAAAAGCCTGTAACAGACTGAACTGTGTCCCTCTAAAATAAGTGTTCTCATTCCTAACTCCTGTGACTAGGACTCCTGGCAGTGCACAGGTTAGATGTTCAGCTGCTAACTAAAACTACCAGTTATTCCTAGGGAGAAAATACCTCATTATTTGTTCCGGTGGGAGCTCTCGTGCCTCTGTGGTAAGGAATTGTGCTGCCAACACAAAGGTATGTGCTTCAAATCCACCAGCTTCTCCACAGGAAAAAGATGGGTAATCTCCTCCCTAGAGAATTACTGGCCCTGAAAATCCTTTAGAGGGTCAGTTATGCATCAGTTACAACCCAATGGTACATCATAACAACCACCACCACCACCACCTGCTCCAGTAGACTTCAGCCTAGAAAACGCTACAGGCAGCTCTGCTGTGTCTTATGAGTTCATATGAAGCTGAAGCACACAGCATACTGGGAATATAATCTCAAGTGGTGACAGGGCTTTATTTGTTATGCAAATGAAGCCCTATCAGTGTCGGGTATATTTTAAGGCAACCACATTAGAGACATAAAAGGAGATGATATACAAAAGCAGGCAAGCACAGACAGAGGAGCACAGATGTCACACCGTATGAGATCACCAAGGAACCAGGAACAGAAGATGAAGAGTCAAGGACCCACCTCTATAGTGAACACAGAGCCTTCCTAGAGGTGGCCAGGGTCTTAAAGCTAGACTCCTAGCTTCCTGACTATGAGACGGTCGCTGGTGGCACAGTGGTAAATGCATTGACCCACTAATCAAAACATTAGTGGTGTGAATTGATAAGCCTTTATGGCTTACAGTCTTGGAAACCCTGCTAGTGCAATTCTACTCTGTTCAGTAGGGTTGCTGGCAACAATTTAGTTTTGTTGTTTTCTTTTTTAATGGTAAAATACATTTCTGTGCATTGAAGCCGCTCATTTGCTGGGAGCTCTGGGCAGCCAAATCCGTAGGGAGCTGTGCTGCTGACACAAGGGCCTCACTTCTCTGGGTGGTTTGAATCCATTAAAAGAGAAAGATGGGCAGTTTCCACCCATTCGACTTACAGCCCCAAAAACTGATGCAGGGTCAATCATGAGTCAGAACCGACTTCAGAGCAATGAGGGTTTTTTAGCATTAAAGCCATTTTTGGTATTTCTATTACAGCAGCACTAGAAAATTAAGACCTTATCTTTACTGAAAAGATTCCTAAAATTTAGTTTAGTTCTAGTCACATTGAGAATGAAGATGATTTCAGGAACTGAAGGCCATCTCATTACTCACCGCTCAGCTTAAATGTTAGCCTAAGCTATTTTTACTGTGGAAATGCGAGTCTTTAGCTCAGCTCTCATTGCAGGTTAGTCAGGACTGACTTGTAGCTGATCTCTCAGTGGGTTTTCAGAGGCTAAAAATTGCAAGGGAAGCATCTTTCTCCTGCAGAGTAGGTGGTGGAGGACTGGAAGACACACTGTGATGCTTCTGTGAAGACCTTTTATTTTTTTATTGTACGATTGTATGGAACACAATAAAGGAAAGATTATATAAACCACAATGTACGTGAATGAAACACAATGCCAAGAAGTTACTGTATGTAAACCAATTTAAAAAAATAAAACCATGCAATGATATCTTAACCCTAAAGAGTCAATTTAAAAATCCTTTATTTCATGCTATAAATATAATCGTTTTTACAGTACAGTTGGCAAAGCTGTCAGAATCTGGAGGCTGTGAATTGCACAAGAATAGTGGGTCTTTTTCCTGCAAAGCCATTGGTGGATTTGAACAAACAGAGTGACAGCCTCTTTTGGGCTAACTGGGCAACTCCTTACACTATCAGAGTGCCCTACGGGGCATAACAGCCCACAAGAACAATGTTCTACATCTTACTTTTCTGAATATTAACCAGGGCCTTAAAAGTTTGTGATGGTAGCCACCATCTAAGAATCTATCATTGATTTCTCTGTGTTTGGAAGAAAGAAAAATGAAGAAAATCAAAGATGCAAAGGTATTATTAGTCCAAAGGATTAACAGATCCCATGAACTTCACCTTTTACTATCATGAGACCAGAAGAACTAGATGGTGCCCAGCTACCACTGCTGATAGTCAGGGATCCTACTCTGTGCTAGACAGAGTGGGAGAAAACTGTGGAACAAAACTCTAAACTGAAGAAGTGACCAGGCTTGCGGGTCTAACAAAACTGGTGGAACTTCCAAGGCTATGGCCCTTAGTTACTCTGCTGCTGTTGTTTTTGTGTATCATCAAGTTGGAAACGACCCATAGTTTTCAGAGGCAGTAACTGCATGGGAGGAGATTGCCCATCCTTCTCCCACAGAGCAGATGGAAGATTCGAACCACGTGTCTTTGGGATTGCAGTGTAGATTCTTACCGCTAGGCCACCAGAGCTCCCTACTCTATGAACCTGAAACTAAACTCACCTCTGTGGCTCAACTTTCAGTCCAACAATAGTCTCAGGTGGTGAATAACACAACCAGGGAGGTCCTCAACCATTAACCACCCAAGATCAGAAAGTCAGAATTTACCTAGAGAGGAACGTGCAGAAGGTAAGGAGAGAGAGAAGAGGGAAAGATGGATGGAAATGAGAGGGATGGAGCGGGAAGACTGCTGTCAAATAATGCACAGTATAAATAATATTGTGGAACATTGAGAACGAATGACTGGAGATCCAATCTACTCCATAAACATCTCTCAAAGCACAGTGGTGCTGTTGTCAGGTGCTGTTGGGTTGAGCACGACCCATAGTGACCCTATGAACAACAGTTCTGAACCCTGTCCTAGACTGTGCCAGCTTCACACCTCACAAAGCACAACAGTTAAAAAAAAAAGAAAGCTCTGTTTCTGTTAACTTGAGTTCTCTAAAACAAATACCTGTTTCTTCAGTGAGGGTTCCCTTGGCTATGTCTCCATTTCTCTGGTCAAGAGCTTTCTATGAAATAAAAAAGAAAAAGACTTTTAAAATACTGAAGTTAAACAGTTTAAACGGTAACAAATGGGGAGTGGTGGGGAAGGCTATTGAAGCTCTTTCAGAAACAGCCATCGCTACCTTATCTGTGGCTTCTGTTCTCCTGGTTCTTTTCATAATCTCCTCAAGTCGCTACAAGAAAAGAAGAAATGGGCAAAAGAGTCAGGAGCGTGAACAAAACCTGCTGGCATATTCCCCAGATGAAACAAACTGTGGAAGATTAAAAACATGGTTCTAAGTTTGGCAAAACATAATAGGTAATATGCCCTCACTGAACATAATAAAAAAAAGCAAACCCACAAAATATTAGGGCTGACTTAAACCCCATAAGAAAAGTGGCTCATTTGGCAAAAGCTGAACCACGGAGTGATTTCTCTGGGAGGGAGGTGTCAGTGCCGAGTGCCAGGCCCCGTTACCCCAGACAGGGAGAGCAGTTTGCTCGTTGCCGATGGGCTGGCCTCTGAGGCCCGGGGCTAGGGGCCCGTCGGCCAGCTGGTGCCCAGGTCCCTGTCTGTGGGGCACAGCCACCTTTTTCCTCTCCAGCCGCTCCTGCTCTTCTTTCTGGAAGTGCTTCTCTCGTTCCTGCCGGGCCCTTTCGGCTTCCTCACGGATGCGAGCTTCTTCTTCTTTCTGCAAACAGTAAGTTGGCGTCTACTTTCTGCAAACAGGCTGGCCTCTCCTGCTGCCCCAACCTCCCCCAGCACCCACAGAAGCAGGATGGCAGGTGGGGGACACGGAAACTCAGGGTGTGGGCACATGTCTCCCACAGCGCATTCCCGACAACTCCTGCTCCCGTATCCCAGGTCACCCTCTCCCCACTGGGCCGGGGTCACCCTGGGTGGACTCCAGGGCACCGAGCACCTACCTGCTTCTGGAGGCGCGCCTTCTCCTCCTGCTCCCGCTCCTCCGTTTGTCTCCGCAGCTGCTCCTCCTTCTCCCGGGCCTGCTCCGCTTCCAGCCGTCGGGCTTCTTCCTCCCGACGGCTTCTCTCTTCAGCCACCCTTTGAGCCAGTTCCTCTCTTTTTTGTCTGAAACCAAGGCATGTAAAGAGACTTACTCAAAAGGGGACTGGAGTGTTTGTGACTACTATGAAGGCAGTCTGCTCAGAAGTCCAGCAGAAAATCTTCCCCACTGGACACATTCAACATGGTGACAGGACACAGCGTGATGCCACCCTGGGTCCTTCCTTCTCCCCCTTCCCAGCCCTGAAGCCATCTGTGGCAGCAGAACTGATTTTGTAGAGAGCTGTGCTTTTTTCTTTTTTTGGGGGTTCTGTTTATTCCAAGGTCTGCTAGTGAACTATTTTAAAAGAAATAAACATATTTAATAATGTCATTTTAGTAGCAAATCTGAAGGAGGAAGTCTTTAGTAATAAATAAGGTAGCCTATCTTCCACTGAGGGCATGCGTCCCATGTTGCTTACACAGGGCAGGAGGAGGATGGGCTAAGCTCTGTGCTGGTTCCAAGGGCAGGGCATGTCCAAGGTGGTTGCCACACACACAAAAGTTCACCAAAGAGGCAGTTCTGTTTGTCTGGAGAACCTTTATGTTGACATTAGGTTTACATGTGCCAGAAGGTGACCAACTGAATAAACTATCCTTGCCATAGCGTCTGGCAGATAATCACGGAGCTGCCTCACCCAGATTCCATCTGACAGGCCTTTGAGCTGAGAGAAAGAGTAGATACACCTTTCCTCTGAGAGAAAGAGTAGATGCACCTTTCCTGTGCCATTCTGTAACAATAAGGAGCTCTGCTGGAGTGAGTGGTCTGCAGGGAACTGAGCTGCTCATCCAAAAGATGGAACCCTAAGTGGTTCGAATCCACAGGAAAAAGACAGGCAATGGCCTTCCGTGTAATTTCCGGCCTCTGAAAAACCCAGCAGAGGGAGCGCTATGTTTCAGTTCAGAGACACCAATGAGTGAGCATGAGTGAATTTAAAGTGATAATAATTAGAAAGAAAATGAAGAAATATGGATTTGGAGATTGTTAAGTAAAAGCAAGACTACACAAATGTTCCTCTACTCCAATTATGTAAAAACACAAATACACAGTGTAGAGAAACTGGAAAGGACCGTCCAACATGTTGACCTCATGGTAAGAAGCTGCACTGACGGGTCAGTGATGGGTTGGTTCTGATTTGATGGTGTACAACAACAACAACAACAACCCCAAATGTATACAATTATTAAAAACTTTTAAGATTATGGAGACATTTATACCTTTCTCCAGTAATGTTGAATTGTCACAGTAAGAAAACATTTTAAACAATCACTTGGTCAGCAGAAGAACACCACAGAGCATAGTTCTGAAACTACTAATCCATCCACCTTCATAGCTCTAACAAGTTCCTAACTCCAATGGAGGACTTTACCCGAGGCATCCAATGGCATCGCTGATACCAAGTCCTTGAGTGGTGCCTCCCTTTACCTTTCCAGCTCTTCTTTCTCCCTCCTCTCTCGTTCTTCCTTCTCTCGCTGCTCTCGAGCCAGCCGCCTCTTCTCGGCCAACAGCCTCGTGGCCTCTTCCGGGTCTGTGGTACCTGCCGAGGTCTTAGTAGAAGGACTGGCAGTCACAGGGGCTGACGGACCTGGGACCGAGGCTGGGGCTGGGGCCGAGGCTGGGGCTGGAGCTGAAGCTGGTGTTGGGGCTGGGGCTGGAGCAGCTGGACAAACAGGTACAAGAAGAAAATCAGCTGGAAACAGAACCCAAAGAATAAAACAAAAACTAGCATTCCCCACACCCCAGGCCTAGAATTCCTCATTATAAAGAAAAGGGAATGTTTATTACTGCGTGTTCTCACGGTCTCACTGTATTCTATCTGTAACCAGGCAACAGATAACCAAAAGCCGTGTGTGTAAGTGAGACATCCAAAGGAGCCTGACACTCTGTCACCACATCTTATTTTTATACAAGTTCAATCAGTTAAGAACGTATATCAAATGTGTACTGAGTATATAGAGTGCCATGGCAGGTCCTGTGGGAAGTTACACACTGAGTAAAAGAAGATGAGATCTTCCGTTGTCTTCCGTTGCATTTTTGAAATGCCTTCTCTTTAGTGACTATTCATCAGCTGAGCACAAAAGCCTTTCTATAAGCACTGTCCAGGCGTGCCACGAGCCTGGAGTCATCCAACACAGAGGGCCCCACTGTCCACCAGAAGCTGTCTTCAGGTCTGGGCTGGGCGATGCCAAAGCCTGTTGTGGCACAAGCTGGCCAAGTGGGTAGTCGACGTTCCCTGACCTCACTCAGATTTAGAAAGAAGACTGAGAGAACTGGTAGAGCAGGGAGCCCAGGACTGTATTTTCTATACTACTGTGAGGTCCTGGTGAGGCATGATCTCTGGAATCTGACCACTGGAGATCTTACTCTTAAGATTCCGGTTTCTTCTGCTCCCAGAGTTTCCTTTACCATTATGACACCCTTTGGCCCTTCTCCTCACCTTTTTTTCCATACACTCTACAAACCCTGAACTCTAGTCTTGAATGATACTTTGTCTTGTCGGAACCATTTCTTCTTTGCACCTACCCTCTCTCTTCAAATTAAGTCTTAAGGAGAACATTTATTTAATACTGGCAATTTTAAAGAGGAAATAATGAGTTCTTAGCTCCAAGTGATAATTAATTTTCTAAATAGCATCTGGTTAGTTGAGAAGACATGAGATCCACTGAGCCTTCTGGAAAAACTTCTAACCTATGCCAAATAGATACGCACCAGGGGTGCTTCAATGTGAGCATGTGTGGGACCAGTGCTGTCAGATTTAACTGCTCATCCTGTATTTCCTCTGCAACTTCCCTTCAGAATCAAATGACAAGCTGAGGACCCTTCAGAATCCTGAGATCCTCTACCACACATGACTTGGTAGATCAGAGGTGGGCCATAGGGATCAGCACTGGAAACATGACATTCGTGGTGGATGAAAAAGATTTTTCTCTGCACACCCATGTTTACTGCTGCTTTGTTCACAATAGCAAAGAGATGGAAAAAACTCCAGTGCCCATCAAAAAATGGATAGAGAAGCTGTGGTATAGTCACACAATGGAATATTATATAGCACTGAAAAACAAAGAACTCATAAAATATTATACAAAATGGATGGCCCTGGAGGACATTATGCTGAGTGAATAGCTCCATCACAAAAAGACAAATAGTGCATAATGCCACTGTTATAAAACAGGACTGACATGAGGGTTGGGGAAAAACTAAGAAAAGAGGGGATGAAATAATGCATATGGCATTGAAACAGATGAGAGAGAGAACTGTATAAAAGGCTATATGACTAGGCATTATTGATATGACATGAGTCCAGAATAAGAGCTGCACAGTAAAGTTGACTGGGAGGGATGACTGTGTAACAATGGAAGAATTTTTTTTCAAAGACAAAAGTCAACTCTGGGGGGAAGGGGTAGGCAGGGATGAAAATGTGCAACAATGAGTGAATGGAAATCCAAGTTCTCTATAAACTTTCATTAAACTCTCAATAAAAAAATTCTAAAAAAAAAAAAAAAATTCTCAAACTTTCCAAAACTCTACCCTACAAAATGTGGAGATGATGTCTTTTCCCCTTAAGTATGAGCTGCATTTGTTGACTGGCTTTGAACAATGCAAACACGGCAAAAATTTATTTGAGTATGACTTTTAATAAAAAGACACTATAACCTCCACGTTTTTTGTCTCTCCTGGATTACTTACTCAGGTGGAAGCATTCAGAGCCATAACACAAACCATCAGGATATCAAACAGCTCTTTAGAGAGGTCCCCTTGTCATGAAACTGAGGCCTCTTGGCCAGGAGCCATCCACTACCCACATTCACATCCTCATGTGTGTCTCTGAAGACTACAGTCCAGGCTAAGACCTTAACTGCAGCCTCATGAGAAACCCTGAGTCAGGATTACCTACCTGGCCTCATCCTAAATCCCTGACCTAAAAAACTGTGGTACAATAAATGCTCATTGTTTTAAGCTGCTAAATTAGGTACTAATGCATTACACAGCAACAGATTACCAGTGCAATATTGTGAAACTTGTGCTCTGAACAACACCTTTGGTGACATTCTGAATAAAACCTCACATTGGAAACCATGCTAAGTTAACACAGCTGGCTCCAACAAGAGCCTTTGAAATGTATGAATCTTGTATTTGTAAACATAATAAAATAATTAAGGTCCCCAAATTAGCTTCAAATTAGAATTTCCAAATATCCAAATAAAATAATTAATAAAAATTTTGATAAAATGATTTTAAAAAAAAAAGCACAGGAGAGAAAGAACATGAATGTGTCCACAAACCCACATCCCATAACAAGTCAGACGCGTCTTACCAGGAGATGCCTCTGGCTCGACAGGCGCTCCTTCTTCACCCGTGGCCTCTTCAACCTTCACTAAGGGCGTCCTAGCCTTTACTAATGGCTCACTGGCAGCTTTCTGAAGTTCTTTCTCCGGGTCCTTTTTCTCAGGTTCCAGTCTGACTTCTTTCTTGGTAGGGCGGATGTTGCCAGGGGATGGAGGCCGGGCCTGAGAAGGGGTAGCTTTGACTGAGCCGGGAGACGAGGTGGAGGCTGGTCTGGGAGTGCCAGGCAAATGAGGAAAAGATTTAGATGGTAGCCTAGGCAAGAAGGAGAAGGGTGGATATATTTAGAAACAAGTTTATGAGAACCTTCATTTACCTTTACTGTTGCCACATAACAGTCTGACCATGCTCTATCACAGTAAAGAAATGTTAATATACTTTTTTGGTATGTAAAACATACAATCTGTCTATTTTGGAATTCAGAGAAGACCGTGGAGCTGAGTAATGCTTCGTTCTGTTCTACATGAGTTTGTCAGGAACAAAAGCCAATTTGATGGTCACTAACAACAATCTGTTTTTATGTGGCAAATGCAGAAATATGTTCCCTCTAGATTTATTCCACATCTTCCCCTTTATCTTTAAGGAACACGGTTTGTCCTTGTGTCAAAGACAGAGTGTGAGGAGAGCAGTTCCCTTCAGAAGAGAGGCTGCTTGATTTCCCAGCCTGGAACGACCCAGCTGGCCTCTTGTGCTTCACCTTACCAAAGTCGGGAGGAAGCTGGTGATCTTGCTTTGGGATGAGATGGAGACAAAGTCCTTCTGAGGCCAGATGTAAGGTGGAAGGGTACATTTTCTCTCTCTTTCTCTTTTTTATAGCTCTAAATTCGGAGAATTGCAATAGTTAGATTTTTTCCCCCCTCAAGAGCAAGGCAACCACATAGACAACATTCCATAGTGGAAATGCAATCCATTTCCATCCTTCCTGGAAATTCTTAAAACTTCTGTCACATACACACAGGTCAACCCCCCAAAATGGCTCTTGTTGTCTTAAAACAGATTATAACTAAATTAACATAATGTGATACTAACAAGACATTTCTGAAAATGTGATTTGAGTTAGATTTGTGAAAATTTTCACACTCTTTTAGAGAAGATCTATGTTTTGTGTCTAAAATTACCTGAAGCAAAGCTTTTATAATCTGGCTCATTCCTATAAAATAATGTCAAAAAAGTCAACAATGAAGAGGCATGTCCCCCATTTTTATACTAAAAATCTTTTAAAGATCTTTTTCATTCTAATGAGTTAAATTCCTGGAATATATGAGAGCTTAGTCCCATTGTTTTTTTATTTATGTCTGCTATATTAGATATTCACTTTTTCCTGTACGTAGATGACATAGGAACAAGTCCTTCTTCTCCTGGGTCCTCTTGTTTTTGAAGTAATTTCAGGTAGAAGGTGAGAAATTTTAACTACTTTCATTCCCCTTTAAACATGAAATGGAAATCTGAAGACAGATCCAAACAGCCCTGTGTTGGCTGCCAACTGGGAGTTCAGCCAGAGAGAAGATACCTTTCCTGGGCTGAAATGTGTAAAGGAAAACTCATTTGTGCTGATATTCAGAATCTACATTCTAAAATGTCACATGTCACCTTGGCTAAGTCCTGATTCTGAGTCTAACCCTTTTACTTCGTGTTCAGATGTAAGCTGCCAATCAGTTGAATAGGGAATTTCATTTTCAAGGCTGTGCCGTTTAAAAGCAGGCTGCCAGTGTTTTTTGGTACTTCTGGGTCTACTTGAACAACCAACCTTCTAGCTAGTAACTGACCATTTCCCAGTCTGTGCTGAGTGTCAGACAGTATTTATTGCTTTCCTGAAACTTCTAGATGAATCAAGAAGTAGAGCAGAGATGAGCTTCATGGTGAGTCTGCCAGCTCGACAGCACAACCCGCTGCAGGAAGACGCTTAGAGCCCAGCGGCAGGAGGTGAGGCTCAGAGGGCCACTGTGGTCCTGGCTTGAGGCTGAGAGAAATCAAACCTTCCCAGCACAGTCCCCACTGAAGACTCAGGGTTCTTCCAAGAGAGGACAGAGGTAAGCACCCAGAGCGCTCTATTTTTCTTCCTTAAAACCTTTAATTTGGATGAACAGATCTAGGAAAAATCTGAACAGAGAAGTAAGCTGGGCAAGGCAGTCTGTGGTGCTTGGAGCCTGGGGGAAATGTTATCATTTGTGATTTGATAAGACAGAGGGGTCAGGAATGAAGCTATATATGAAACATGCCACCCTCAGATAGCTGCCTTCTCAGTAAACAGAAATCTGTTCAGTCTGGAGCCATTCTACGTTTCTCACGATTCACAGAGCCAGTTACTCTAGTCTTCAGATCCAGTTTATAGGTATCATCAAGCTAGCTCCGCTCACTGTGACCTTCAAGATAACAGAATGAAGCGTGGCCCTGTCCTGTGTCATCCTCACAATCACTGCTATAATTGAGGACTTGTGAGAGGATCGATTTTGGATTGACACAGTGGCTACATTTAATCACCAGGGACAAGGAGAGCATGGGAAAAGTGGCTTAGAAAACCATTCAGTCCTTAAGATAATCGCCTCCGTTCTCCTGGGCCTTCTGCATCCTGAGCTCGCAAGCTGGCTTCCTCTGCACGTAGCTTTTCACCTTCCCAGGGAATATCCACTCAAACAGGCAATTTCTTTATCCTCTTAGTTCTTTTACATTTCCGTTCATTGGTCATATTTGCACATCATGTGCCCAAGTGCCTTCTGATTCTCCTCTGCATCTGAGCTAATGGCCAAGGCTCCACAGAACAATCCTTCCCCACAGCATCCCTCACAGAGTGTTAGGAACACATGCTCGAATCTGCCCATGTCAGCAGTCTGCAGAGTTTCTGAGTTTGCCCCAAATTAATGAAGGATCAAGGTGTCCTGGGTGCTGGTGCTGAGACAGGTCTATGCACCAGTCTATCTCAGGTCTTCGGGTGCCCCCCCCCCAAACCCATAAAATCTACTCTAGCAGGATAAAAATTTTCATTTTATAATTAGATAATTTAGAAAACATAGCCCTGTCATAGACAATATGCTGAGAGATATTCATTCCAAGGCAGTGCTGTCCAACTGAACTTTCAGTGAAGATGGAAATGATCTAATTCTCTCAAAACTCATTTTCATCTAGTTGGAAACTGACTCAGCTGATCATCAAGTGGGTTTTCAATGGCTACAGACTGCACAGGAAGAGACAGTCCATCTTTTCCTCAGAGCAACTGGTGGATTCGAACCCCTGGCAGTGCAGCTCCCTACCAACTCCAGAGCCCCCTAAATCTATACTGTAAAACACAGCAGCCACTGGCCAGACTAAAGGCGCCCTTGTGGTGCAGTGGTTAAGCACTCAGCTGGCACTTGGAAAGTTAGCAGCTGAAACCCGCACAGCTGTTCCACTGGAGGAAGCCTTGCCATCCCACACCCTGGCTTAGGACACCTTCCAGGTGAGCTCTACACTGACATCCAGGTTATTAGGAGATGGCATCAACTTGATGGCATGCAACATAAGGCTACTTCAACTCAGACTTACATTAGCAAACATACATACATACATCACTTGATCAGTCTTACTAAACATATTTGAGTGTTCAATGGGAGCAAAATGAATTTAGAACGAAACTAATGAAATAATTTATAACAGAGTTCATTATTCTCTACATCCCCACGTTTGTAGCCACACAATGCTCATGGATACTGAACTCCACCGCACAGTGCTAAGGTGTAAACAACTTCAGAAGCCATTCTCTCACAGCAGATACTTGCCTAAGCATTTGGTTGTACACAAGTAAAAACACAAACAAGGGAGAAGGTTGTTGTTGTTATGTGCTGGTGAGTCACCTGAGACTCATAGTGACCCTCTGTACAACAGCTCTGCAGCCTGTCCTGTCTCACTGACTCAGACACACCTATCCCCATTGCCCTAGTTACTGAATCAATCCATCTCATCCGGGGTCTTCCTCTCCTGCACTGTCCCTCCACCCTTTTGAGGATAATGTCCTTCTAAAATGACTGGTCCCTCCTGGCCATGTGCTCAAAGTATGTGAGACAGAGCTTTAAAATCTTAGCCTCTAAGGAGAAACTTGGTTTCACCCTCTTTCAAGACAGATCTATTTGCTTCTTTGGCAGTCTGTACTATGTTCAAGACTCTTCTCCAGCACCACAATGCAAAGGCATCAACTCTTCTGTCATTCTTAGTCACTGTCCAGCTCTAGAAGTAATTGAAAGGATTATGGCCTGGATCAGGTGCACCTTAGTCTCTAGACTAACACTGTTGCTTCTCAGTACTCTGACAGCAGATTTACCTAATGCAACTCATCTTCTGATTTCCTGATTGCTGGTGCCAAGAATGTGGATTGTGGAGTTGAGCAAATGGTAACTGTTAACAACCTCAACCTCTTCTCCTTTTATCACGGTGCTGCCAACTGGCCGGGTAGTGAGAGTTTTTGTCTTCTTGATGTTGAGCTTCAATCCGTATTAAAGACTACAGTTTTTAACCTTTTGCAGCAAGCGCTTCAGGTCCTCCTCAGTTTCAGCAAGCAATGTTGTGTCATCTGTATAATGTAAGTTGTTGATGAGTCTCCCTCTAATCCTGATGCACATTCCTCCTCATAAAGTCCAGCCTTCTGAATGATCTGCATGTCTTTGATAACAAATCCCTCTTGATCAATCTGCTGGCCATTGGTCAACCTGTATCCTTCCCTCAAGGTGTGCTAATTTTAGATTTTATCTACAAAATGTTTCCTTTGGTAAATGTTTTTCCTCTCCCTCCTGTAAGTACCCAGTATTTGGTGCCAAAGTTATTCTGTTTAACTACAGCTTTCTGTCCACAGCTTGGATACTAAAGCACTAACATGCTAATAAATTAAAACTCCACACATCAAAGGAAGTTTCACCTTGGGCTTCAAGGGCTGGAGGTCTGACTCAATCATGAATTAAACACTGATTCTTGAAAGCCTGAAGGGGCTTGAAAGAAAATTGCTGGTAGGCAAAACCATCTCACTTTCATAACCCTAGAATTATCCACAAATGTCTAAGCAGAATCCTTTTAAGTATCCATCAGCTTTATAAATCTGATCTGCTCTGGCAAGTTAAGGTTTCAAAAAAATTGTTCCAGCCTTTAATTAAAGGAGTTATACTATTATCGTAGGAGAGGAAATAGGATTTTCTGATTGATTGGTCAATCCTATAAAGCACAAGGTCTGAAGACCAGAGAACAATGTCTATATAAGACTTGCAACAGATACTCACACAGTGTAAAACAATAAAGAGTTCAGGGGTTCTATGAACTAGTTCATGTCATTTACAGCATGGTGAAAATGAACACTAGCTCAGGAACCCTCTGGAATAAGAAGCATCAGTTATATTCTCCATTTGGTAAAATTTATGACAGCAACTATGAAACAGCCTTTCAAAAATCAATTGCTTAGAAAATATCAAGTGCTCTCAAAAGAATTTTTCAATTGTCGGTCTTGGCCTTGACAGGGGTTAGCCAGGAAGATAAATAGTCTGTCTTACCTGTGAATGGACCAAATTTAGAAAGAAAAAAAAATGTAACCTATTTTTGAACATGAAGGAGATAAACTGTTGGGTCAACAGTCAAGGCTCACATTTCCTCCAAAGGACACTAGACTGTCTAAATCTCCAAGGTACTCTGGTTTTGCATTTATTTGGATGGGGGCTCTGGCAAAGTATGTCAGCCTTTCATACATGCTTAACAATGAACAAACAGTTGTCACCTTCAAATTCAAATTTTTGTAGGAAGCAAATGCCCCAAAGTGGAAAGGAAGTAGGAAGACTTGTGCCTAGACAATGATGATGATGTCTGGGTTGCTGTCCACTCCTGCACAGAAGCGGTTACTTCCAGGGGCTACTCACCATGGTGCCATGGATGGTCTTCCTGCGTGAAGAGCCCTCAGGTGCTGTTACAAAGAGTTTGGGTCGCTCCGTCGGATTTCTAGAGTGTGCAGCTTTGTAGGGCATGATGTTGATGGGGCTGCAAGATGCTGAACGAGGACAAATGGGGATAACTAAGGTGCAGGTGATTGTTTTACACACAAGAGTGCCAGAGGAGCAATTGGAGGAAAGCCAAGAGCAGGTTCAGGAAAAGGAGCAGAGCAGAAACAGAGAGAAAAGTAGGAAGAGGAGGTTATTCTCTAAAGGAACCCAGAACCATCACACTCAACTCTCTTCATGGTAGCAGGAGCTTATGATGAGCCCAAAAGGAAGGCATGTTAAAAAAAAATAACCCTGGAACATACTACTAGCTACTTGTCTATTAAAAGTTTATTCTAAATAGAGGTTTAATCCAATCATAAGGCAAAAGAAAAGGTCGCCTTATGTTCCTATCAACTGATGGTTCTGGTAAAATGCTGTGTCGGTGCTCTAGGAGACCCTTTATATAAGTACTAATCTATTATCAGATTTTTTCTACTCAGCTTTAAGATGAAACAACAGATGGAAAGAGAAGTGAGCAAGCAGGCAAGCAAGATATATGCTACAGCTGCCCCAGGAATAAAGCTCAACAGTCAATGGAAAGCAGAAAAACAACGGCATTTTTATGATACTAACTGACAACACTTTACCAGGAGTTAAGATCTGTTATAAGCACAACCTATCATTTTCAGGGGAAAACAGCAAACGTTTAAACTATTACCAGTAAATCAAACACATGCTTCTTCACTTGTAAGAAACATCAGTTGGGGAGATAAATTGTAACAATTCAAAATGATGATTAGAATAAAACCATTAGAATAATAAGATTGGATAATGAATAGCTAATACAGCTTTATAAAAATGGAGAACTCATAATGAACTTCTAAAAACCATATGGTTTATGATCATCCACCTGAAAAATCTAGTCATTAATCAAGCTATTCTGAGTAAAAATAGATTTAAAGAAATTAATGTAATACAGCATACATAGTGGATATATAAATCCTAAGTTTAATTTCATTTTTCACCCATAAATCTTGTTTTCCAGTAAAAAAATAACTTGAACAGATAACTGAATGACCAATAAGGAGAGTATTACTTATTCTGACTATGCCATTAAATAGCTTTAGCCAACTCTAGCCATGGTAGTAAATCTCTAAAGAGATCATAATGTTAGCTGAATCTAATAGTATTTGTAAACTTTAAAACTTGCAAGCTAAAAGGACAAATGAGATGTAATTTTAACTTCAGAATTATGTAAGTTTTAAAAAAATAGTTTTATAAAAAATCTGGAAACAGAAATAGATCAAATTTCACTTTTATTTTATTAATGTATTTCTTTCTTCAAATAGCTCATATTATCTTCTAGTTCTTATTGACTGACCAGGTAAGAAATTGCATTCTCTTTTCCCATCACAGTAAAACAAAATTCTGTTCCTTCAGGACAAAATGAAAACACTTTGTGTTCCTTCAGTTCTCCTTTCAAAAAGCCAAGTATTTAAAACCCAGAAACCAACCAAACAAGGCCTTGAAACCCAGAGCAGCAGTGCAACACTCCAAGGACAGGAGCCCAGGCCTTTGTCTGCAGGGTTGGTGCTGCTGACCCAAGAGCTGCGTCTCTCTGGTGGTGCAAAATCTACCAGTGGTTCTATAGGAAGAAGATGGCAACCTCCTCCCTTTCAAGGTATAGCTTCAGAAACCCAGTGGAGGGTCAGCTCTAAGCCTGTTCCAACGAAATGACAACCAGTAGGTGTGAAATCCTCAGAGGCGGAGCTGCTGATGGATTCACACTCCCCACCTTTCAGGTAGAAGCCCAATTCCTAAGGCACTGGGTTACCAGGGGTCCTTTCTATATGTCTTAATAATGGATACAGCATTTTTCTTTCATCTTTAAAGGTGAAGGAAAAGATTATCTGTGTTATGAAGATGGATTCCATTTCCCCTTTAGTAGAAAAAAGAATTTCAGGGGGTATCTTTGGGACATTTTTTGAAGACCACTGTGGATATAGTCCAGGGACAGGGCCAAGGATGAAGACATTCTTCAATCAACTCTAATGCAGTCTATGCAAAAATCTGCACATTTAACTGTCCAGAGACGACCTTCTTGCTAAAAACCAATTCTATAAAGTCTTCCTATAGATATTCATTTTCATGAAATTCATTGCTGTCTGACCAGCCAATTTGAATTTAAAGTCTGAACCATTTAAATCAATTATTCTAATAATGGTGCCCTTCTAAAGAAGTAGCAAGAGTATATATAAAAATATATAATCCTTACTTCCTTGCCAGAATGACCTCCAATGGTCCAACATTGTTGTTTCTGTTATGTGTCACTGGGTCACCTGCGACTGACAAGTGACCATATGCACAGCAGCTCTGAAGCCTGCCCTGTCCTGAGCCAGTCTCATAGACTTCAACAATGTAGTGCCATAGAAATGCCTTTCAGAAGTCAAAGGAGCAGCATCTGCATTTCTTCCTCCTCTGGGGTAGCTAGTGCCCAGTAAATCATCCAAAATTTTCAATATGAAATCATAGGTGTAGAAGAAAGCTAATATAGTTCAAGTGGTTGGAGTGCAGCATAAAGAATAGGAAAAATAGATACTAAACAGAAATATTAATATTTATGGATTATCTAACACGCACAGGCCTAAACAGTTTACATGATTATCTCATTTAATCCTGAAGAATAAGAATTGCATGTATTTGAAATGTTCCAAGGGTGGAGGAAAGGAGGGTGAAACCTCAACTCCAAACAGCTGCAGTCGAGATGAATGAGACCCTGAGTCCCAGTCCTCAGCTTCTCCGCTCACAGCTTAGAGTCTTTATAATCACTGGGCGGCCATAGGGGACAGCACTGTTGTGTCATCTGCTAATATAATTTAGCTCCAGATGTTAAGTTGCCCTCTTGCCAACAGCAAGTGGAAATAAGATAAAGTAAAAGGAGAGCATTATATGGGAAGAAAAGTAAGAATAATCAAGGAGAACTGATGGGAAACAAAGGTGATGGGAAAAGAATTCTTGACAAGATAACGTAAAAACATGTCTATATACCCAAGTCAAACAAATTTTTCTTAATGAAATCAAGACTTTTGACATAAGTTGTATCACTGTATTAAACAACAATGATCTAATAAATGCATTAACAAAATAGGCAATGCAAGTGAAAAAATACAGATTAACATGAAAAGAAAGAGTCACTATGTATTTATTTGTGAAAAGGAGAATAGAATGAAAGCACAGAAGGGCCAGTGAGCAGATATAAAGCACCTTTACTGAGCAAAACAACCAAGAAGGGAGGGAGGCAGGTGGGTAAACACGATGGGTGGACAATGATATGGTGGTGGGCAGGACTAGAGAAACAATGAAAGAATTGACAAAAGTTAGCAATGACAGGAAAGGAAAGAAAGCAAACATTTCTTGCTGGATACAAGACATTCTTTTAGTACGAAGCAACACATACATATTATGTGGAGATTCAGAAACCTGGCAGCCAGAAATTACACAGATTCTATAAAATGGGACTGAAAAGCAATTTTAAAGGTTCTTTGGCTAGCTAAAAAAGTTAATTCCTGACATGTAGAAAAGCAGTAAATAGGCAAAACAAAACAAAACAAAACAAAAAAACAACCAAAACAAACCTAACCCCAAAAAATGATTTTGAAATAAGTTGTATTTCTTTTCCCTTCAGAAAAGTCTCAGATGCAGTAAGTTGGACTCCACAGAAGCAGAGCTAATCACTACAGAACATGGAACCCTGTGGTCCAGACAATGCACTGCAGAAGAGCATCACACAGGATGCCGTCAATGGCAGGGGAAGAACATTTAGGATCCTCTCCACTGATTTTCCAGGTGGCTCTGGTGTAAGTCACCTAATGCCACTGCACTCATTTTCAACAAAAGGAGGTTATACGGAGGGGGCTAATGAAGAAAAGACCTGCAGAAGCAAAGAACTTTTAGTGAGGGCTTACAATTTCTTAATTGCCCCAAATGAAGGCTGGTAACCTGAGTCACAAAGGTCAATTAATTAGGAAAACCTAAATCACTTCATCACCAGAGATGGTACAAAAGCCTGATATATATTTCTTCTTTCCAACTAGTTATGAGTTCTACAAGAAGATCTCATTAATGGACTCATTGAAGCATGGTTTTTTAGTTTTCACACATTTTCTACAGAAAGAGCAGCACTATACTTAATTAGAATAACCAGGACTTGGCATGTTTTACATATTTAAAGAATACGACAAACAGCCTTGTCCTGCACTCTTGGGTTTTGGGAAGGTGTCATTCCTAGATTGCACACAAAGGCTGAGGACAGGAAGGCTAAGGAGCGGGCCCAGAGCTGTATTAGGAGAACTCTATGCTTAATTAATAAACCTGCGCTTTGACTTCATTCTCAAGTCCATGCCTTCGTATTGAATAGTGAATTATTTGATCATCTGCTCAGACTCAGGGGCAGAAAGGACGGCAGGTGAAGGATACTGTTTTCTAGTAATGTTATGGACAGAAGCATCTGAAACCATCTGATCCCAGGGAGGGGCTTGCTTGGTCTGCCTGGCGTCTGGTGTCCAGATAAGATGTGAAGACGTAGCCAAGGAAACAATGCCAGGGCCATGAAACCAACACCAACAGACACAAATCCAAAGCCATTCCATCCAGAGAAGAAAGAAGCACACATCAGGAAAGGCTAATACGTGATTAGAAAATTACTGGCTCCTTAGAAATATTTCAAAAGGAGAACTTCACCTCACCAGGAGAGTTCCTTCTGACAGCTTTACCTGCATCTCCAGACAAGGCGGCTGTGCTTTTACTTCTGGCCAGGAACGAATGTGTGGGCGTCAGGAGTCTGTTAACAACGCTGCTCTCCCATGGGCTGAGCTGCAGGCGGCGAGCTAAACGTCACCACATAAGCAAGATGTTAGATTCATTCTTTCCAAGAGCAGGAGGGCTCAGAGTATCACACCTATCCTTCCATATGACAGGCCTCAAAGAGAGACCCAACTGTTCTCTCCAGGGAGGAGAGCTGGTGGGCTGAGTCAGGGCAACTGGATTCCTGCCTGAAGAGGGAAGCTAACTCATTTTGCTATTGTTTTTCTGAAAAATTAAGTTAGTAGCAATTAATGTAGCAAGTACTACTTTAGCTCCACAGATCCAGGTCTCTAGTAGTTAGTTAACAGGTAACAAAATAGAAACATTATTTCAGTTACTTGCTTAATGTGTTACCACTGTTGACCCCAGGCTGTCCCAATGGTGCACAGCTCTTAGCTAACGGGTTTCCTAAGTAACCCGAAGAATAAACATCAAGAGACTTGGACAAATTAATAGAAGAGTGGGTTTAAAAGACAGAAAGGTTCATATTAAATTAGGCCAGTTCCCCAAGAATTACTTGGGAACCAGGGTGAGAGGGGTGAGGAAGAGGTGGGAGATAGAACAAAAGGAATGAGGACACAGGTAACAATAGGTATGGGAATTTCCTTTCTGGCTTCCATCCAACAAGCCAGGGTAGGGTCTTTCAGGTTCTTATTTGTCAACAGCATGAAAAATCTGGCCAAGGATAAGGCAAAGACTGAAGCAAGATAAAAAAGAACAGAAAACCTCAAAATTCAATAGAAACAATCCTGGCGATTATAGTGGGCATTTGAAGAATCTAAAAAAAGCAAATTTTTTTAAAGTGTAATAAAGGATAGTCCTGAATTATAGTATGACTTGGCAAAGATCACTCTTCAGAAAGACATGATGATTAGAAATGAATGACTTTGCTTGTGATGTTAACTTCCAGCAATGACCCATGGAAGTATAAAGGCTATTTTAAAAAAAAACCCAAAACAAACAAACAAACAAAAAAAACTCCACCACCAACAAACTAACAAAAATCCTTATTAGGAGAGTAGATTATAAAAACCTTACAAATATCACTGAAGTGATTATGTATGTCTCCATTTTAGAAAATGCCCCCAGCTCACTTACAAAGTCTTTAACGGGGGGTCTAAGTCTGCCTAGGTTAATTCTGCTTGCCACCATAAACAGCATCTCTAAATGCTGAAGTGTTTGTGAACACCCCCATCTAGCACATTTTAAAGGAATGAAACGGAAATTCTAGGAAGTTAATTACCATCAACAAAAGTAAAATAATGCTAAACCATATTATAGAAAACACTGGCTCCTATGTGGAAGACAGTCTCAACTTCAGTTCCTTAATTATCTGATACAAGACTGATGAATTAGTGAAAAATTCATTTTCTGTTTTGGAGAACAATTCATGATTAAACTTTATTTGACATCAAGATGTTAACATAAAGATCCGTTATAAACAGTTAGGTAACAGCTACACAGTAAGTAGATCTCAGCATGTGGTAGGTGCCAGGCTGCAAGCATGGCACTGACATTCTCTGTGTGTATAAACAGCAGGATATATTGGAGCTTAAAATCATGGTGCATTCACAGAAATGAAACATCAACAGGGAAGAAGTGATTAGGATTAATGAAACATTTTCAACAGAATTAGACTTTTAGTCAAAGATAAACGCAGAACAGAGAAATGCTTCCTTTCCCCACATTAGCCAGAGGGTTACTACAAAGACTCCCATGGTTATTAAAAACTCTTCCATTAAGAAGTTCAACTACTTTACCTCTGTGGTTCTTCAAAGCATGAAATAATCTCCCTCATATGAAGGTCACTAAAAACTCACTTTAACTTCTGTTTAAATCATAATCAAAGAGGTGTGCCCCCCCCCCCCCCCCGCCTCGAATCCATGGATGATTTTGCCAGGAGAAGCAAAGTTCCCTTTCTACCCTGTTCACATCTGCACCCTCACCAATAATTGTTTAGAAAAGACTAGGAAAGGACAGTTTATTACTTTTCCACCTAGCAGGGCTTCATTTTTAGACCATGAGCTTTCAAAGAGATATTCTCATTGAACAACTACACAGTATTGATCTTATGTAAGAACTTAAAAATGAGATATTGACAATTCCCATAATAGAGAGAAGAGATAAACCCAAAGGCTTGTGCCTGCAGCCATCAGGTTAATATAATAAGCGAGCAGGGCCAACCAAACAGGATGGCCAGCTGTATCGCGCCCCTCCTCCCGGAGAAAGGAGGCAGGAGACCACGAGTCAGCATCAGAGAGTGGAGGTCATGCAAAAATGCATGTGAGTGTTGTCATATCCAAATTTCTCATTAGAAGTGGGAAATTGAAGTATTCGAGGAAACTATTCATCTTTTAAATGTTGAATTATTAAAGTGAAAACAAAACCCAAACATTAGCACCCAGGTGGGCAGAATGCTTGTGTTTCTCCACTGTCTTCTGCCTTTATTCTAGGTTCCAGGGGAAATATGAAACAAAAAGTAGGCTACTTCCTCCTTTTATGTTTTCCTTCTCAAGCTCCCTACGTTAGCTTAAGAATAATATATTTTTGATCACCCCCAAGGAAAAATTCATCACACGTTTCTATAATGCCTGGACCTTGCTAACAGGTATTTTAAATTGACTGGCATGTGGAGAAGCAATCCAAATTGATACAGAGAGGAGAGCAATGGTGAATCTAATTCTTAAATGCTCTTTTTTGTCTAACCCTACAATCTTCAAAATAGAAATGTGAAACAGAAAAAATCTAGGAAGCAAAAGCACTGAAAAGGATCTCTTCATTTTAAAAATAACAATTAATAGCACCTAAAAAGTCTCTACATGCAATAGTCACCTGCTAGTAACAAAAGCACAGAGGTATATCACCAACTATGCTCTCAATATGTGAATATTTTTATCTGCATAAATTTCAAATGCATTTCCCAAAGACATTAATGTTACTGTTTGCACTGCATATGCAGGAAGAAAGGAAGAGGGACAAGAAAGAAAAGGTGGGTAAAAAGAAGCGATTTGTTCAGGATATTGCAATAGATCAGCTTTTAAACACAGGCCAGTAAACATAAACAAAACCAGAAGACACTCTAAACGTTTATCATATAATGCTAGTAACCCACATAGTAAGACAGACCATTATTATAAAAAAGTAAGGTAAAGTTTGCACAGAGGTACAAGGAGAGAGGGGTAAGAATTCATAAATAGGCTGGGTGAAGAGCAAGGCAACAGAGAATAAAAGGTTGATCAGAGTAATTAACTACATTTTTCAATTATACTTAGTGCTAGAAAACAAAGTGTGTGAATGACTTAATGAAATGTCAACACTATTTGTAAATTTTCACTTGAATAAATTTTTTTTAATGTAAACATGTTCAGTGGGAACACTCTTGGATTCAGCAATAATAGAAATCTTTAATTCACAGAGGGGACTGTTTTAATACAAGACATTTTATCAGTCCATTTAATATGATATTCTACATTCAAGTGTAACAATGAAAATATTTAAAAAGTTGAATCTAGCAACAGAACCTTTGGATACCAGTTATTAGCTCTGAGGGCCGAGGGAAGCATTGCTTAGGGGTGGGGCTACTTATCCACTTGATTAAAAAAAAATTGTCAACATTTTAAATTAATAGTTTGGCTGTAAGACAGTTTTTCAGGTTACAGTTTGTCCTAATAGTATTGGAGCCTCAATTGAGTATCATCTTTAAGGGCTGTGTGTTGTGTGTCATACTGAAAAAGCTCAAGTCATTAGTGAAATAATTACTATTTTATGGTGAACTAAGGACATTACCTACCAGAAAAATTTTGGTTTTAGGGCTCTAGATTTAATAACTTGTCAAAAACACTGTATAGCTACATAATAAAGCATGGCCAAGTTGTAAAAACAGCAGAAGAGGGGAAAATTAATTAAATCACTTAAATATTAGAGAAATGGATTTGCCAATTTGGAATAATTTTCCATGGTTACAAAATGATCACAGCTCTTAATTATCCTATTAAGGTTTGGCTTAACTTAAAAAAATCTCTGAAACAAAGAACAGGAAACCCCAAAAATAAATAACTATAATAATTTTTATTTTCTTAAAATTGCTTCCTTGACCAGGGCTCCTGGATGAACTGAAATTTCTTTGTAGGTCAATCTTAGATATTAGGACCAGGAACTTGTTTATAGTTTTTTTGAGGAGGGGCCAGGTGAGTAGAACTTCCAAATTTAATGTTCTGCCTTCAGTAGTCCTCTTATTATTGGACTCAGAAATTTTCTAGTCTGTATTATAATTCAAGGGGCTCTTTTCTGGCTCCAGCTCCTATGAACTGGATATGGAACTTCCCTTGACACTAGTTGTCTTAACTCTCCACTTCTAACCTTATCCAAAGGAGGAATGCGTGCAGGCTGAGTAGAACAAAGGAAGGCCAGCCCTGAGGGGAAGTTCTGAAGATGCAGCACAGGAACAAGGTGGGTTAGGATCTGGGACCGCTTTTCTAAGCCCCTCTTTAGCGACTACTTACACAATACTAAGTTAGACCTTTGGCATCTGGGGCGAGGGGGAAGAGCCAACTAACAGACCTTTTTCTAGTTCTAAGATTTTATTATCGAATACTGTCATGCAAAGTTTATAAAAAGTCTTTTTAACCTTAACTGTATTCCATAGAAAGACGTATTTTGAACATTATCCAGTTTATAATAAATCTCTGAGCTCTGCTGTCTCACTAATGACAACGATGGACTGGAAGAGGCAGAAAGCAAAGCTTAACTTGAAAGTCTTGATAAATTTAGTTCTAGTCTGTCTCTGTATGAGGTGGATTGATTCAGTGACTGGGGTAATTGGGATGGGAGTGTCAGAGATGGTGCGATTGGCACATAATAATTCCTCTAACACTGGCAAACTCCTTCCCTGGCTACATGTGTAATATTGATTCTGAAGAAATGATTTCAGCAAATTAGATTAATAAAAAAGCAGAAAATAGTAAAAAGGCAAGAACAGTAAGCTGTTCAAACATTTACTGTTTTAAGAAATCATTTATAAAATAACATCAACAGTTAAATAATATTATACATTACAATGACATTGTAACAACTTTTATATAATACAAAATTTACAAATACACATACACACTTAAAGAACATGCACACACTACATCTTTAAAAAGACTATAAACATGGAACCTTTCCCAGTTTCTTAATAAATTACTTAAAATTACTACCATTATATTACTTTTAAAGAGTTGTGTTTTTATATTGCATCATAATTCTTTGGTTTCTTTCTTAAAAATAATTTGCAAAACAAGTCGCTTTATCTCAAAGCTTGAATTTTCCTTCTATCAATTCACTTTATAAATAAATTCAACATTCATGTACTGTAAATCCATGAGATGAATAAAACTAAAAATTCAAACAAAATATTAACAGGAGGACTATGATTATGAAACTCATCAGGATGCTGTTAATGAGAAGGCCATTCTTGAAGTGAGGCAGAATTTGTTAAATGTTAATTAATGGACAGCAAAAACCAGCCACAAATACACACAAGGAATGCAGTAAGAAATGTCTGGCTAAATGAAAAGTGAAGTGGAGAAATGGAGTCTACAGACATGATTCATTAAAAATGTTTTAGAAAGTCAAAGCCTAGAATTCCCAGAGTACAGATGAGGAGCCAACAACAGCATGACTGGTGTCAGATGAATGTTCAGAACAAAAATGATTTGTACTGTGGTGGCTAAGTGGAGCTGGAAAATCATTTACTACAAAGTGGAGAGAAGCACCGCGTTCATCTCTGCTAAAGGCAACCATTCAGCCAAGTTCTAAAATGAGAAATGTTCTCGTCGCAAGGGAAATGCTGCTCAGCCGTTTATTGCTTTTTTACTCTGAAGTTTTTTTCTTCCTATTTAAGAAACGTAGGGAAATCAACTTCAGATGCTTATTTTTATCTGTCAACATTCAGAAAAAAAAATAAAGCATTAATTAAAGAACAGAACAGGTTTGGTTTTCCTTTTCACTGTACCTCTATCTGGAGAATTTAGTAAAGTTGCAGATGAAGACGAGAGCCGCTTGCTAATGACGGGATCAACATGTTTCGAAAGATTCATGGTGGAAACTGACCGCCTGTCAGGATCTAAAACAAATGGAGATAATGCTAATTGACAGCCAGCATGCAGCACTGCGATTTCCTAGTTCACTGACGGAGGGAACGCTAGGCCTGGGTGCGTTCAGCTCTGCCACTAGATCTCTCAGAAGAGCACAGTTTTCTAAGTGGACATCATAAAGGTAACGTAAAGGCTTGAAATAACTTCCATTTTACTTATAAGACCAAGTTCAGTGCATCAGTTTGTCAGCCATGGAAATGTAAGGATATTATTACAATACAACAAATGGATAAAAACCAAAGGCAGGCTAGCAAAGGGCTAATAAAATCATGCAATTTGTGCAGCTTATTGAAGAGCATGAATGAGGAAAATGCCTTCAAAATTTTTCAAAGAACAACAGTAATAATAATAAGAAATAATAAAGAAAACCCATTGTTGCTGAGTCAGTTCCAGGGAGCTGATGGCGGCCCCACAGACATCAGAGTAGAACTTTGCTGTGCAAGGCTGTCAGGGACTGATTTTTAGTTGACCATTAAGTCTTTCTTCCAAGGTGTCTCTGGGTGGACTTAACCATTTAAACTTTTGGAACGCAACCAGGTCCTTCTGTTTGCAACATCCAGGGCAGTTTGGTATAGTACTCCGAATAAAAAGACAAGCCCATTTCTCTGGAGCTGAATCCAACATTGGGATTCCAACCCAGTGGAAGCTATTTGTTTACCCTCCATCTATTATATTTCTGAGACTCTAAATCTTATAGAAGCAGACTGCTTCCTTAGTTTGCTCTGGATCTGAAGCGCTGTTTTTTTCAGTTAGTAATCCAACTAGTACTTCGAGGGCAGCTTAGAGGTATTGGCTATTCTCTCATTGCAATCAAAGAAGAAATAAGTCATAGGTCACTCTGCAGTGGCTTTTCAAAGGCTACAACTTGGTGCTGCTGGGACGCTGCACACTGTTCCATAGTCTTGTCAAATACCATAACGGTTACCCATTATGTACAGTGTCTGGATGAGCTTCCAGAATGACTTATGCTGGGAAATAGGAGTGGCATTCACTTTCTATACTAGATGCCTTTGGAAACTCTACAAACTCTCCAAACTCTTTAAATGTACAGAAATGATGGTAGTTATAGAACAGAGTTCTGTATAAAAATGACATTAGTCATAGAACAGAGTTTAGATCTTTTGTGCAAAACTTACTCTCAGTCATATTCAACTTGACGACACTTAACCACTGCTAAGTGAAACTAGTGCTTTTATATCTGGAGGAACACTCTTCCACTTTGTACATCACTATTTATTAATGTGCAGTATGAAGTAACCTGGGTTGCTGTGATGCTGAACCTTGTACCATTAGGGTATCAAATACCAGAACGGTTTCCCAATGTGGACAGCGTTTGGTGGAGCTCCCAGTAGTAAAACAGGTTTGGAAGCAGGAGTGGCATCCACTTCCTAAACCACATGTCTCTAGAAACTCTATGAACTAGGTGAAATGATGACAGTTATGGAAAGGCATTAGGTCTTTTGTTCAGAGTGGCTATGAGTCGTGCTCGACTCGACAGCAAACAACAACAACAACATAAATTACATGAGAGGAGGACGTTCATCCTTCTCTCATTGAGCAGCTGGTGGATCTGAGCTGCCAGCCTTCGGTTTGGGCAGTACATGTTCCTACCCATTGGGCCACTGAGCTCTCTTGAGCTAATAATGTTATTAATGTTGCGTGTTGTCAAGTTGGAACCATCTCCTGGCGATCCCCTAGTGGGTTTTCAGAGAGAGTAAATCACATGGGAAGCAGCTGGTGGATTCGAACCATGTGCCTTTGGGATTCAGTACAGCTTCTTACCACTGGGCCACTAGAGCTCCCTAGAGCTAGTAATGCTGTTGTTGTTAAGTGTCGTAGAGTCGTAGACGACCCAGAGCGACCCTATGAATGAAAGTCTTGAACACAAAGCTTTCATCTTTTCTCTAAGTTCATAGAGTTTCACAGAAGCAAGCTTCTTTTGCTTGTAAAAGACAATGAATATGTTGGAATAAAAGAACACAAGGTTCTATGTATTTGCTGATACTTTTGCTCATAGAGTCATTTTACCCAAAACATTAAAGCTCAATTATGAAGAAAAAATTTTGTATTTTTAAAATAATGGAGAAAGAAAAGATACCCTAGATGTGGAACAGATGACTGCTAGAGTATTTCTTTTTAAAAATTCCACTAATAATCATACCTGTGTGTATGATTTACAAATATGGAATCAGACTACTGATTTCCCAATAAAACTGACAGCAATATAAATAAAAGCAGAATTCTTTTCTTGGAGTTCATGAACATTACTATGCTGCTTTTAATACCCAGGTAATTTAAAAATAATTCTTAAAAGTAAAACAGGAAAGTCTGCTGTCAGAGACCTCTCCAAGGTATGGAGGAGCAATTATGTCAGTCTGGAGACTAAAGTGGGCCTGATACAGGCCACGCTCTTTATAATTAATTGTTATGCAT